CTTCACTGCACGCGTGCAGAGGGAACCCCACACAGGAGGAGTACCTGACGAACACCCCCAGGTCTAACCAGGTCCATTTCATCATACCGACAGCTATGCGTCGGTGCTACTGACTTTCTGAATGGCTGCCCTTCCCTCTCCTGTGGAATTCACACCTCTGTTCACCCTTGAAGGTTAACCCATTAAGTTTGAGAAAAGCCCCTCGGTTCTGCTAATCTACACTCATGTAAGAGCACTTAAACATCAGTTTGTCTAGCTGAGCAAGACCATGGGTGTGGTCTCAAAATGTGGACCCACAGACACAATAGCAAAAGTAGGAACAAACTCAAACTTCACACATACGAAAATTTCATTTATTAAAAGATCTATTTTTTCTCTTTATATCTTTATTCAGAATACTATGATAATAATTGGAATATAAAGCATTGTGAAAGCAGGGGCAATGGGACACTGGCTGCAATTCTCTCACCAAATGACTCGTACTTGTAGGCTAGAGGTGTCTGATAATTACAGCACGATGTGGGTGCAGAATAGCATCTCAAATTCAAAGGCCATCTAAGGTGAAATCTCTGAAATCTTAATTTCCTACCACAAAGACAAAAAAGTAGTACAGAATGTGCAAATGGCACTTTTGTGCAAACCTGGTAATGTTTTTTTGTAACAGATGTGAACTGGACCTCAAAACCTGCGAGTAAAGAAAAGTTGCAAATCTTACAATATAGCACAAATAATAATAATAATAATAATAATAAAAAAAAGCTTTCAACATTTTACACACAGTCACAGCTGAAATTTCACACAGTTTAATCCATAAAAAGAGTGTCACAAGGGAACTGCAATCTGATTCCCACATTATACAACCTATTTCTGAACACACAGAAGTTAAATGAAAATTAAGGATGACGCATGAATGTTTACTACACTACCAAAACTTTTCCTAAGGACAAATGGGTTCACCCAACTGACCCGGTGAGGGATTCCCCACCCCCCGGCCCTGCCAACACAGAGCCACACCTGCCCCACTCCCGCCACAGCCATGTGCTGGGGATCCCAGGTAGTCACGCTGCTACAAAAGTGCAAGAAACAGACATTCTGGACTTCATTTAGTTGTACATTCAAATGGCCAGGAAGGAAAACACTGAGTTGTAAATCCTCTTGGATCTGTAATAAGACTCTCCTGCTATTGAGCTCAGACAGCGAGAGCCAAAAACACAAAACCCTGAAGAAGACTTCTGCTATGTGCAGCAAAGCGATACACACCACACAGGGGACTGGAGCGCCTGTGCATTCTACTGCACCCCTCCCTGCCACACAGACACGGGGTGCTTCTTGGTCCTTTTCCAGGTGGTCTGGGGGGCAGGGGAGGGGGGTTAGCGACCGAGAACAGCCTCGAAGCTGTTCCGGACCTATCCCTCCCACCCTCCGGCAACTCCACACTCCTTCCGCTCCCGCACTTCATTGAGAGAACTGAGCAAACCCGCGCTCGCCTGCAGCTGTGTGGAGGTGTGTCTGAGCACAGCTCCGAGGCTCCGATACCACCCCTCACCTCGCCACTTCTATCCTTACAGTCATTATTCATGCGTCACGCAGATGGCTGGGCGCGGTGACCTGGGAGACGCAACAGCTGGGGCTCGAACCCACAGCCTCCCAGTGAGGAGTCCTGGGAGGAGACGAGCCCCGAGCGCTGAGCGCAGCACACTGAGGCCCTAGACTGGGCCTGGCCTGTGTACTGGGTCAACCCTCTGGGCTCCTGCCGGACAGACAGGGTGGGAGGGCTCTTCTCTCGCCAGAGCAAGGCAGGGTACCCCACCACAGCCTCCACATCCAACCCCAAAACAGGAAGGCCCGAGGAGCCCACTGACAAAAGCAGCAGCAATCCTGCTCCCAAAATGACCTTCTTCCTGTGTCAGAATCACCGTCTCTATCGATCAGTGCACAGAAGAAAGACTCTCCCACTCTCCTACGCTACCATCTGAGCACGACGGCCTCCGGCTGCTTCCCAGGACGAGCTACTGATTGTCTCTGCTAGTCACACTCGGGTCACAAGCACCCTGCCTAGTCCGCAAAAATAAGAGCCTCTGAAATTCTTCCTTAGGTTTGAACAAATGTATTTCAAGCACATTATCAATACGCAAATATCTCTAAAAAACTTTAATGCCCAGAATCCCAGGACGTCAGGAAGTCAAGCGGCGGTCAGTGATGCCCACTTCTGCCAGGAGGCCGAGGGGATCAGCTGATGGGCTTCACAATCGCAGTCCGGCAGGATTTAAGGCTACTGTCAAGTCTTTGGTTTCCAATGACTGGTATTGTAATGTCAGATCTCTCATTTAGAGGGCCTATTCAGAGGGCAAGACAGGTTCATTTAAAATCCATTATTCAAACACAAACAAAAAAGTCTGGTTTCATCTAGAAGTCGTCAGATATACAGTAAGCCTTCAAAGACAGGAAATACAATGTTCTGCTTGCGTTGTAGTCGCTCAGTACCCTCCCACGCCCCCGGCCCCAGCCGAGCAGGCCGCAGAGCCCCAGTGAAACGCGCTGTGATGGAGCACTCGCCTGTACACCTGCACACCTGCGTCCAGCTCCGGCTGGGCCCTGTGACCTTCCTGCATGCAGCCGAGATGTACCTTGTGACAGACGTGTCCACGGAGAATGAAAGAATGAGCGGTGCCAGAGGAGGACGGATTTTCTCCACAATCCACGAGCCTAAGGGCTCCCCCCTCTGCACTGACGGTCTACTGTTCGTCAACCAGAAATACAAAAGATCATCTACATTCTTCATTAGTACATTTAGACAGGTGCTCAAGAACAGCATCGTGATGAAGGCAAAGTGAATTTAAAACTAACTACAGCAGCTTTAAAACCAATTATCCCACACAGGGAAAAGATCAGACTCCTACTGCATATCTGTCTGATCCCCTCCAGGTTTTACAGTGTTATCAGCAAGACTCCCAGTGCAGAGCAGTCTGATCCCCTCCAGGTTTTACAGTGTTCCTGTCACCTTGCAGTGACAAAGCTCTGATCGAACTCCATGCCATGTGGGCTTGTGTAAATACTGTATTTACTGTACCTGATACAAAGCAGCGTGGATTGAATAAAATACAGAGCTTTGTAGGGAAGTTTAAGTAACCAGTGCAGTTAAGGTATCAGCACTTTTTTTTTTACTTACACAGGAAGCTGCAGGTGGGAAAACGTGGGACACGGATCAGATTACTCTGCACCGGGGGAGTCGGGATTTTCCGTGGAGCGCCGGCTACTCTTCAGCCTGAGAAGCGGGAACCAGGTTACTGTTCCTTCCAGGAGAGTGAATCCATCGTTGTTGCGATTCGTGTTGTGTCACCCAGCCACGGTCCCGACAACAGCCGCAGCGCAGGGCATCGATCCTCGTGATGTCAAAGGTCGAAGGTTAAACCCCGGAGACAGAGACAGAGGCGTTGCCCGTGGCCACTGGAACAATCAAGTCCGGGATGGTCTGACAGGCCCCGCCATGACATTCCCCGCCTCTGTCTCCTGAGGCCCGCAGCCGGACTCCGGGAGAGCACACAGCGGGCAGGGAGGAGCGCACACAGAGCCTGTCTTTCCGAGGAGGGATCCAGAGATCCGCAGGACGACTGGGAAAAAGGCAGGGATTCAGGGGGGATGCTTTGGCCCCTCTCTCTACCCTCTCCTCTTTTCCAACGTCCGATACCGTCTGTCGCTGAAGTGTGCCCCTCTCGGCCCCTCCCTCCCCAGGCTGCTGTGGCCACCCCCAGCCCCCACACCTCTCCTCCTCCTCCTCCTCTTCCTCCTCCTGGTCCCGTGAGCCAGCCGCGATCATTTCCACACGTGGGCGCCCAGCACGTGACCTCCGCCCTGCGCCGCTCCGCCGCCCATGGGCTGGCCGTATCCCATCATCCCGTTCGCGCCGTAAAAGTTCATGCCCGCCATCTGCTGGGTCATCTGAGGGACAAGGACCGCGAGGCACGGTTAGTCCGGACGGACCTTCAGGAAGCGCAAACAGGAAGCCGCCTCAGCATGTTCGCTCTCGTCCGAAGTGCACCCCGCACCCTGCACCCCGCACCCCGCACCCCGCACCCCGCACCCCGCACCCCGCACCCGTCTGTATCCCCACCACCACACAGAGCTCATTTCACAGCAGAACCTGAATCTGTGCACCTGGAGTCAAAGACATTAAAGGGATAAACACCTTTTTAACACTTGATTTCAGCAGACAGGTCAACTGAGAAGACCAGCACAGCTGGGGTGACTACTGGATCAGCTCCTGGCTCGAGCATCCAACAGCAACATCTGAGGATCCGAACCTGCAAACCTACAGCCCCGAGCCCCGAGCCCCGAGCCCCGAGCCCCGAGCCCCGAGCCCCGAGCCCCGAGCCCCGAGCGATGTATGTATTCCAGCGTACTTCACCAGAACTGGAGAACTCCAGCCTAGAGAACCTGCAAGGGGTCGACGAGCTTTCCAGCGGTCAGCGGGACGCAGGGAGAGGCGCGGTCTGCCCACCTGTGCGAGGTTCCACTGCAGCTGCTGCGCCTGCTGGGCTCCGTAGACGGGCGGCGGGACTGCCGCCACCCCCCCCACCAGGCCGCCGGGGGACCCCATCACCACGCTCTGCAGGCCCCCCATGTACGCCGCTGTCGGGGGCATCGCCATCTGGGGCAGCATGCCCGGGGCGCCGGGCTGGGGCACCATGCCCATCTGTGGTGCCAGCATCCCTCCCATCATGCCCCCTGCTGCGGCCAGGGCCTGGTACTGGCCGTACCCCGCTGGGGCATAGCCCATCTGAGCAGGCGCCATGTACATTCCTCCTGGGGGGACTGACAGAACGACATCGCCGCGTGAGTCTCCTGGCCATTTCTTTCTGAACCGAGCAGCACTGTCCCGCCAGTCAGCTCCCTGTGGCTTTATTTCACAAACACACTGGACAAGCTGGCTTCGGTTCGAGGTTCGAGAAGCCTAGGCGATTTAAAGAGCTGGAGTTTATCCCCACCGTTCTGAGCATCAAGTGTACGAGCTGCCCCCTCATCTGTGAAGCCTTGGTGTCTGCTTTTGTGACTCCCATTCTGCAATCCCTCTCCCCCCTCCTCTCCTATTCTGAGAGCCCAGGCTCCCCGGACCCCAGCCGTGAGCTCAGGAAGAGCGCAGGGTTACCTTGTGCTGCCATGTGTGTCATCTGCGGAGTCTGAGGGCCGTAGAGAGACAGAATGGAGTCCTTGGACATCTTCTTCCCAGAGTCCTCTGGCCTTTGGCCCTGGTCGGTGAAGAGACTGAGGTTCTCAGACACAGAGCTGGTGTTGCTGCCCGTGGGCATGGAGCTGGAGACCGGCTGTGGACGTCAGAGGAGAGAATTCAGGCCTGGGCTCAGACTGCATCACGGAAATGGCCCCTCTGGGCAGTGTACCTTTCCTCCTCCGCCTTCTGAAGCGTGCTATGCTAAAGCAGAGGCTGGGACTACGTCTGCACACCAACAGCATGTAACTCCTGCCCACAGGCACTTTCAGCCACTGCAGACCAGACCGATGTGTTGCTGCTGCAGACTGGAGGGACAGGAGGGGTGGGGGGGTGGGGAAGGCAGGGAGAGCCGGCGCAGCGACAGCATCCCCAGAGAGAGCAAATCGGAAAGAAAGGAAATGAACTGAGACGCCCTTACCGTCGTCTTGCTGGAATCCAAGCTTGGAGTCGTCATGGACCCAAAGAAGTCCAGACTGCTGGCCAGTTCAGGACTAGGCTTCCCATTAGGAACGGGAGTGTTGGTACTGGGGGCATCTGCAAGCAAGCAACACATCAGGTGTGTCAGGAATGAGCACGGTTTGTGCAGCCCGACACTGAGCAACACTGAGCACCAGGAACACGCACAGGGCCGGCTGCGCAGCCCGACACTGAGCATCAGGAACACGCACAGGGCCGGCTGCGCAGCCCGACACTGAGCA